AAAATTTCCCTAGTGAACCCAAGTGCAAATCAAAGTAAACTCTAGTTCCTTTACGTATTGACTCTACTCGGAACAAAATCTCATCTCGTGCTAGGTAAGGAAAACATGCGTCAAGAATATCAGTCTTCCAGTTAATCAGTGATACAAGTTGAAGGAAAACAAGTAAGAAACTTCGCAACAAACTTCTAACCATCAGCGTGAAAGATAATGTTCATTTTTCGTGTGCAGTCATCAGCTACACGTGATCGTTCACTGTCGACGTTTTGGAGTGCCTTCAGATGTATTTTTCAACCCAAATTTTGTAACTTTTATTAAGAGAGGATAATCCTTGCTTGCTTTTCTTTATTTTGATGGAGAGCAAGACTCGTTCTTATCTGACTGGTCAAAATTCCATGGTACATTTACCTGTATACCCACAGAAAACTGAAACATATATTCCCGTCCTGTAAAATGGCGCCACACGGGGCGAATTTATTCCCAGATTTTAATTTGGTAAAGGCCTTTGGTTTGGAGGAACGAAGAGGATACTTTGAAAGTCAAAAACAATGAAAAATATTTTGTTTCTAATATCATCAAATTTAATAATTAAAAACTCAATCTAACCGTCTAGTTGCTCCGTTTTAAGCCTTTATTTTTCACACCGTGATTTAAGTGAAAGAAGGTCAGAATTCTTGAGTAGAATTTCACAAACTGCTCACCGAGAAGRAAAAGTTCCCACGCTTGAGCTTTAAGAAAATTGTAATGCGTCAAACTGACTGAATTTTCATTTAGATATTCATGGTAAATTTTGTTTACTGAAGCGATAAGGTTTTGGCCAACGAATTTGATGAAATATAACTTGATATAAAACCTACCTTGAAGGTTTTGGGAATTTCTTCAGGATGCTTTCGTTGCGTGGTTCTCTCCAGTGTCTCTCCTTCGCCCGCTCCATTTTTCTTAACCAAATCTAGCGCAGACTCTAATTTAACGGTTACTCCCATCGAATATACAGTTTGTTAGATTCGCCGACAGGCAGGGACACCGCAACAGCTTGCGCCAATTACTGCGGGCCCAGTAAACCCATCCATCGCACAGTAATTTCGTGCGTGGGAAATCAACGTCTCCAGCCCCTAACCCTGAACAAGACGGTACCTCCATTTATTCGTCCCTATCCAAGAAGACTAGAATATCTAACCATTTCTTGATGTTATAGAAAGGTAGCATATTCTTCTAATTTTTATTTTAAGACCTTGAGTGTTGGTCCGGCCAGGGCTCGAACCCTCGACCTCCCACACAACAGTCCAGCGCTCTATCCATTGAGCTGACCGGGAGGCGGTTAACTCAATAGATAGACCGGATGGTTTCAATGGATAGACCGGATGGATAGACCGAATGGTTTCAGACCGGAGATGATGATACAAGTAGCCCTCATACACTTGACAAAGAATAGTTGACAAGGTCAATACATGGTCGTAATACTTGCGATTTCTGCCGTTGAGCACCTAAATTCATCAATATTATCCAACCAGGAAGCAAAGTTAATGTTTCGAGATCAATGTACAAAGCAAATGCATGCCTTTGAACAATCCAAAGTAACGTCTTTGGCTAAAATCGAGTCAGATATAGCGACAGTCGATAAGCCTAGAATGGTGAATAAACTGAACGCGTAGGCCGGAAGTTCGAGAAGCACGACTGCTGACCGGATGTAACAAAATGTGATGGAATNGCTTGGGTGAAAATTGCCACACCCAAAAACAAAAAGATTGCTTTATAGACTGTGAAAAAGCAATTACAAACTCAGTTATGATTAACTATTCGTCACAAGAGAATGAAAACTTCGCACGTGAAATGTTGTATGTATTTACCAGCACTGTAAAGAATTAGATCCATTTCATCGTTGATTTCACCACGGTTTATACCAAGTCCGTAGTCTTGCATGTGCCGGGAAATATCCCTTTGACATTCACTGAGTTTTTATTGTTTCCACTGCACTTACAAACGTCCCCTTCGGGATTTAAAAAAGAACAACTTTCCATTGTCCCAACCAGGATATTTTCCTTCGCACAACGATATGCAAATTTCCCTTACAGCGTTTTTGATTGAGGGCATAAATTTACTTCCGGTCACCCGAGGAGAATGCCAAAATTTGGGCAGGTATTAGATATTGAATGTGAAAATTTATCGGCCTGGAAAAATTTATTTATTTCTGAAGGAGAGGTGGATCAAAAATTGCAACTTCGTAACTTCTAGTGTGTACGCTTACTGGCCCAGATCAGCGACGCATCTTACATGTAGGCCATCATTAATATCCAATAAACAATGAATAAAAAAACAAACCCAGGAAACATGGGCGGGTTATGTGGACAAATGTTAGGTTGCGAGACCCAGAATACTTTATCGGCGAATTTTATGAAGTAGGAGAGTACCTCTCTCATTTGTATGAATTTCATTTAAATTGGTTCACGTACACCCGAGAACCCGACTCGTTTATTTTTACTTCTTGAGAGTGATGTAATCGCTGGATGCAATCGCTGGTTGTAATCGTAGGATGTAATTGAAAAACCTTTACAACGTACTTGTTAAGTACGAACTGGTGTGAGGTTTCATTGTTACACAAATTACAATATTTGAATAGTATCACAAAAGAGCGGAAAAAGTCTCTTTGAAGTATTTAAATATTTCATGTTTCTAAGACGGAAAGATCATCAAATAATTTTCCCTACACGAATATTTCCCATCTGAATTAAGAGAACAACAAGTACATTATGTAATGAAGAACTCCAACTCAACATCCACAAAGTCACCTTAAATCTGCATTAGAATATATTTATTTACTTTTCATACTCTCACATGTATTAAGACAGAAAGTTAAAAATATCAGAAACTGCTCTGTACATCTTCACAAAGTAACATCACCTCCTAAGAGAAAATGCAACAGATAACAATTAAAAAAACAATACAAGAAACAAAACAAAAAAAAAAAGAAAAAAAGAGAGAATGTATTTCGAAAAATTACTTCAAATTCAGTCATACGGCGATCGAAAGAAACAACACTTCTCAATACTCTCAGTCACCCAAAAGATGTAGAAAATCTTGGCTCTGTATAATTATGATGTCCTTAATGCCTTGACTGTAACTACGTTGTTGTCACTCAGGAAATTGATATTATCTGATCGATGATATGGAATCCGACTTAAATGAGAGAAGTGAAAAGGAGTTGCCTTTTTTCTAGGGCAGGGAGAAGTCCCCAAAGAAAGGAAATATAAACAAATCGGAGATAAGGAACATTTGCACGCATCCAAAGACGACAGCCAGCGAGGAACATAGAGGTGGCTCGACTGACACCACCACTAAGCACTACAT